CTTGATGTTGTTCCCCATCCACTCACGAGCAGTTTCCTCCCTTTATGAGGCCGTGTCTTGGAAATTCGAATGGCTTCGATCTTACCGTTGCCGATGTCGGCGTCTTTACTCAGTTTGATCAAGGAGATGTCGTTATCAACAGTGCCGCTATCATAGTTGGGATGGCGATGCCATGTGCCCCTAATTATCTGCTGGCCAGCCGCACTGTGACTGTACCTATCGTGGAGTCCTAAACCTACGAAGACATGTTTGCCCGACCTGTTTATCAGAGGAAAGCAATAAGCAAATGGTGAAATAAAAAACCTTGTTAAACCAATATTAGGTATGTTTTGGACAGCCTCGTGACGTTTGCCTTGTAACTTGGCCAGTTGCGACACGGTAAATGACGCCATTTCGTTCTCAAATGGTAAATTTTGCATGGGGTTACACTGCTTGATCGGATAATGACACAAAGATCGATCAAAGTTGGGCGATGATTGTTTACGATCTAAACAGTACAAGCTCCATGCAACATGCCAGTCGCATGTGCGCGTGGCAGTTTTAGTACCAAAATGGACTCTGAAGTGAACTTAGCAGAATCCGCAAAATGTACAACTTGCTTTTCCTCGTAAAATCCTGCCATGTACCGGTAATACTTGAGGATGAAAAAAGAGTTCCTCAAAAAAACTATACCTTATCTCTTGAATGCTTATCATGACATGCACTATTTTGCTGAGCACTTTTTCGTGGTCATTTTTACTTTCGCATAAACGTATCAAGCATTTTCCTATAAAGAGGCCTACAGGTATGATGAAGAAGGATGGTTGTTTTAGGCATGGGGGGGCTGACTGGTGTGTGATACTAACTTGCAGTGGCCAGCTGAAACGACCCATCGTTTGTGGACAAGAGTACCACCGCAAAACTGGAAATCAGCACTGCTCCTACCATAGAGTGCCACCTGATAGGGTCGGCTGTGTGGTGTGGACTGGTGCCCGCCGACGATCAGTTTGCCGAGAGTCGGCGCTGAAATGAGTTCAGACAGAAGTCATAACTACGATTGTTTATGTGTTTTCTTGTGCTTATTTGGCGGAAAGTCCATTTAGAGATAATTCATTTTGCTGACAGCTACTTTTCTAGGCTGCAATACTTTACACGTAATCTAACGTTCGTCTTGCAACTATCAGTGATATTTCTCCTTAGATAGCATTGCCACGATAGCATAGCTGCATCAGTATTTTCTGAGTATACTTTAGAAGTAAAACTAGCCACGTGGTTCCTATTGCACGGTTTCGGTCGTACATAAACAAAATCTGCATCAACTTACACAGTACTGCCAGGAGGCAAGCCAGAGGAATGAAGAACTTCATGGTGAACGTTGTCGTTGATTCTGCTAGTTACTTCGTTGAGATGCGAGCTCGAAGTACCGAGGTGGGGGATTTCGGTGCTTTTTATAGCCTGTACCGGGCGAACTAAGTGCGATAGTTGACGTAAGCTTCGATAACCAGTCAAGCGCGGGTTGTTCGGGAACGAGACAGTACTGGTCACTACTAGTTTCTAGTAGGATTTTTTTCCAGATCCCTCTCTTTATCGAGAAGTGAACAAACAAAAAAACTTGACGACTAATAAAAAGCATAACCACTTTCATCTGATCCATTACTTTTGCAGACCCCCCTTGAAAGGAAGTTTCGTTAACGTGGGACAGAATCTGTACATGGATGCATGGTGCAACTTTGAGGTGATTTTCCTGGTGTATGATTGGGAACTTGGGAACTTTAGGTAAAAATAAATAGTACAAGTAAATGTATACGTATTCCCAACAGCAAGTGGTGGATTTCATAAATGCATGCAGGGCCCTCGGAAGATCCCATAAGTGCATATCATTCATCGACTTAATTGATACCTGTTACAATCCACTACTCCGACTTTAAAACGGCTTGATTTTGGTAGAATGATTTGAAGGTAACTGTATTTTCAGTAAGCCAAACAGGCAGAGAGGATATAACATTTTGAACGATTGCGGAGATTTACTTAATATGCATTTTACCAGAACTAAAAAGAGTGTGTAAAACTTTTACATACGTGTGGTAAAAAAAATTAAACCTGTTATAACTCCGAAGACACAAATTCCATGGGAACCTCGACTGCAAGCACAGATGAACAAAGAGATACCACTCGAGAAAATATAGAACTGGGCCGTTATCTCCAGTGTTTACGCTTAACGAAGGCCGTTGTTTTGTAGAACATGAGAAACAACACCTTTCCCCCAAGCTCACTCAGCATTTAAACTTTCATCTTTCATTATTTGTAATTCTTTAAGTGTAATTCTTTATTTTAAAATGTAAAGTGCTCAGCTGTTAACTTATATCTCAGTAAACGTTTAATTGTAATTCTTATTGGACAACAATGTTCCATTACACAAACCCTGGGACCTGATTGAAGGTTGTTACGCTAGGTAACATCATATGTGTAAGTGGCTCTTACAGCAGACTGATCATATTTTACTTTAAACACAAACATGTTAACAAGAACAGCGGAGGCTATACAATAATATGTTCAAATCAATTCATCCAGTAAACATACGAAACTCTGTGTTTTCTTTCTTCAGTGGTGAAAATGTAGATTTGTCCGAAACCCAGTTGGGCGAAATCCTCTCATTTCAAGATGAATTTTACACGCACCCTAAGCCATGCGAGCCCACAACGATGAAGAACAAAGGGATTGGGAGCTTAAGTGTCCTTGTTACAAGTGGAACATTGTACACGTATTAACAGTGCTCTTAAATGAGCGAGGTTAGACTGTAAACATTTTCAGCCAACCGACCAAACTAAACTCCACTCTCCACTAACAAATCCCTATCACCTCACCTCACATAATTCCCGTTCCATCCCATCAAATCCCATCAATGACCCATCCAGCAAATATCTATCCTACCCAACCATACCTAACCAACCTAATTCTTACTCTTTTATCCCACATTCCACCCCACAACACTAAATCCCCTCCAAAGGGTCACGGTTGCCTTGTCGAGAGAGTAAAGGCACCTTCCATATGCGTGCCAACACTTGCGCCAAGCGTTGCGTATCCGTCAAAATCGATCACTCCCGGGAAGATTTTGACGGCTGAACGCAACGCACACGTGTGTTATATTAATGGAATCGATTTTTGTGTCCGTGAAAGTGACACATGTAATGTTTTGGTATTGATAAAATACCAAGTGGAACCAAAAAATTATTTATTTATTTATTTATTTCTAATATTTAATCGGGGTGGCCCGTTCACACTGGATGTGGTCTTCCACATGGCCCTGAGACAAGACATCACAAAATTAAAGTGAAAGATAACAATAATATAAGATATGCTACACGTAAAAACTAAGAAATGGCTATTAAAACGCACAGTAAAGGGAAAAAAGAATTCAAAAACTTAAGGCTGCTAAAAATTAAATATATACCTAAAAACACAAAAAATTATCAGGGATGAAAATAATATCAATAATAATTAACATTACGTAGATATTAGACACATTAAAATGCCATTAAAAGATGGGGGACGAGATATTTCAAATTTAAAATTATATATATGTATTAAAAGAAATATTTGACACTCTTCTTATTTACAACCTCAGTGGCTGACATGCTTTCTTTCAGCATTAACTTGAAATATTTGATCCAAGGCGTTGATCTGACTTCATTGTTTAGGCTGTTCGATACGGTAGCGCAACAGTAATCTTACACATCTACCCACAAGCAAAAACTTCAGTAACGTAAAATATGATTCAAATTGAACTTTATCCAATGATTTCCCGACAAAGCCTACGCCATGCGTCGTGTCATGCGGTGGCGATGGGGACGAGGAAACACACACCTGGGTCTGTGCACTTACCAGACAAGCGCTACTGCAGCTAGAGAGAACGAAACACACGCAACAAAAAGTCTTGTTGTTTTCACAACGGTCGATGAAGAAGCAAACCACCATCACATACACATTGAAAATGGCTCTGTTTATTACAGATTTCACGGGGTATAATACACGCATGTACGTAAACTATAAGCATTCTCTTTCAGTGATTGCTTGTCCTTTGGTTTATAGATACCATTAAAAAGACACAAGTTTGTTTCTAAATATTTGCAGTGTAACATTACTAAATAGAGTCGTCAGGAATGCTTAATAGGGCCAAAGATCTGCTCCCTACTTCAAACAATTAAATTAAAGAGACGATATCCGAACTTACTGACTACCACAACCGATATGTATTACTGATTGGGCTATTAAAACTTTCAATCCCAAGCGAACCACAATATTTGATCTGACGTCAAAAATTCGCGTTTGGGCTCGCTATCAAGCAGGTACGAACAGGCCTTAAGTCCCTTGAACAATGCTCCTCCATCTTTCAGTCATTGTCTAATAGAGGGATTTCACGTTAGCGCCGTCTGCACATAATGCATCGAAACCGATGCTCTATCTCTGTGTTGAACTTCATCGTGCGCGCCCGGCCCGCAGAGTGCACACAGTACATGCAGTATCCGGTTCGTAAGCCTGACGCCGCTTCAGTTTAAGCCATGCCCACTGCCTAAGGTACACGACCATCGCAGGTACGTTAGTTTGCGGTAAATTGCCGTTATTTTTTCTTTTAATTTTACGTGTCGAGTCATCCTGAAAGACTCTTCCACAAAACTTTGCAGCCTGAAAAAGCTGAATTTAACATACCTTTATGTATTTTGTGTCTTGACTCCTTACTTTCAATCGTCTGACTGTATTAAGAATTGAAGCTGACATATACAGCCTCGTTTTCAAACGTGGAAGTGCGCAGATCAATGCTAAAAGCGTCGTTTTGAGATCCCTCTATGGCCAGACTGAGCAGCATTAAGATGACAACCTCTATTCGGGGGAGCCACTACTAGCTAACACGCGCCTGCAACAATACCCCTATAGTGAAGCTTGTTTGCAGTATCCATAGATAATTCAAAATGTAAAAACATGAACTAGGAAAGGTTTCCCTTTTCAGAACTGACCTGAGAGTTGCAACTTTCAATTGCACTTGACATATTTACACGGTGAAAACGACATGAACATTCATACAATCATATTTCATTATAACGATGTTGACGGGAATAACTTAAGAACATTGTCACACCAAGAATTCTGCCATAAAAGTACGGAGAAAATAATGGAGAACTTCAAACTCCAGAATTCATTCTTTAATGAGTGTTTAGTTATTGCCCTTGTCGATACAGTTGTATTCATCAAAGGTGCTAAACTTCACACCAAGCCGTTTAGCCCCTGGTACTTGAACTTGTATGGAACTCAAGCACTATTGTCTTAGGTTCACTGGCGTGACTGGGGTACATTTTGCACGGCACTTGGCGGACAAACACCCAATATTTGTTCAAGTGAAACAAGTGATCTGCTTTGGTATATAACGTTGGGGTGCTTGAGTTCCAAAGAATTTAACAATAGTTTTCCAATGAGTGGTTTGATAACTTCGCGATATCTACTTTCAAAAATTTCTTGTTTATTTGCTGACTTGGCTGTATCTACTTCTTTTGCAGAATGCTGAATAAAAAGCACCAACCTTATCGCTATTCAGGGGAGAAGTCCATGTGAATATGCTCTACCGTGCCCATCTGTTTAACATTGTTACCGCTTCCTGGCCTTTTCAACAGCCGTTGACATGCATGTTTTTGTCACTTGCAAGTTTTCTCCAGGAGATAGGCTGGACCGTATCTTACCAATTGACGGCTCACTCGAAAGGAGACCTGGTTTTACCAGGCGTGTAACGTGAGAAATAACAACTAGGGCACAAATGTCTTCTCAACTGCGTATACGAGTTTGATCTTGATTGTTTTCATGCATGTATAGTGACGGGAATGGATTGGACACTCGTAACGTATACTAACCTTGCTCAGCATCCTTCGGTCAGTGGGTAATTGGTGCGCCACCGCGCGGCGGTGGGTACTTCCCGAAATTTTCCACCGCCGTGTGGATGTGCCTCGTGATCCACCATCTCAGGTATGCAATTTATTTATTACTTGTCTGATCTTGCTTGAATTTAGAGTTAGAACGTAAAGAAATAGAGGTGCTGACATCCCTTAAAAAGTGATTAATCTAAAGCAGAAAAAGTGCAGTGATTTTGCAAACATGGCGCCTTCATTAACCGCTGTACACAACCATGATGGATGTAGCTTGCACAATGTACTCCGGATAATGCCAACCGTAGGCAAGCTTTTTCCTGGGTTTATAGATAGATTCACCATGTTTGATAAATATTTGGAAGCACTGGATTCTGTCTCACTTTGGTGGTTTCAGCATTGTAAATCTAAGTCAACATTATTATTAAGTACTTTCTATAGTGCTTGATGCTAAAAATTTTGTTGAAGTGCAAGCAAGGCGCAACCACAAATAATTCAATAACTGCAAAACTACTAAGTAGTGAGACTTCAAAGTCACAAGCGGGAAATTCATAAGGTTAGTGTCAGGCCACACAAATGTAATTCGCTGTTTCTGAAAAAAAATTGCAACTGCTGCGACGTATTCAAATGGTGAAAAACGTTGGGGTTTAACCGTGTCCTTATTTAATGCAGGTTACATCAGTGGTTTTGACAGGATATAACCAAAGTGGCTAATTTAGGGGTATAAATTTTACTGAAGCTTGTGTGTATGCTATCCTGGTTGTACAGTTCTGAACTGTAACAAACTCATGGGTCTCGGTAGCGTATCCAGTATCGCGAGGGTGGGGAACAACTCCGTATAAGATCACTCTGTCACTCGCTGAATGTTTCTAAAATGCTGACACTTGCAATTCCATAAAATTATGTAAATCAATGGCTAACAAAACAAAAACCGAGAACTAAGTGACAGATCTTCTCCAGGGGTAATTTGTCTCTCCGGATGCACAATTTCGCCTGAGGACTGATCCCTTGACTGCCTTGCATGTACAGTTCCAGTGGCCATGGTGACGTCAACACTGGTTATTCGCAGTGTCCCCTTTAA